GGAATTAGAATTTAAGTGGTTTTCACTCAGTGGTCGTTGTCACTCTGAAGATTTCTGGTGTGAAATCTTCGCAGATGTGGTAAGAAATTTGTCTCTGTGGAGACAAATTTCACGGTACAAACCAATAAATTCTGCTGAGAACCAATAACAGGTGTAATAAAAACAAATTGACGAATTTAAAAGTGCATAACGAGTAAAGAATTATTAATCTTTCTATGTAACAGAGTTGACGATCGTTAGGAAAATTACTCTAGCAGTAATTCGTAATAATTTGACGAACTTCGGTCCTGGCTTTTCTGTTTAGGCTTGTGTCCGTGGGTTCGTTAGTATTAGAAGCAGCAGAAAAGAAGTTTTGTGACAGACCTGTCTGATCTTCTCCACCTTTCTGGTCCTATCTGTCCCGTTTATATCAGGTTGCTTCACTCGTATAAGGGATGAAATTCACGCAGTTGAAGTACCAAGGGGGAAAGCTAAGTAGAACACTTGCCATGAAAGTATTTATAGAAAAGGCAGAGGGAAGTCACGTCACTGCTGTGGGAAAGTGACTGAAGTTAAGATGCCACACGAGGGTGGATAACATTGCAGACTCTTCGTTGGATTTTCTCGAGAATTTCGATATATATATATATATATATATATATATATATATATATATATATATATATATAGATATGTTAGTAATATTCAGCGCACGGATGAATGTCAGATTCATAAATGTGCAAAATGGATCCTATTGAGAAAAATTGTCTGGCACCACAGGGTGAACCAACTTTCTGTGCAGAACATATGACTGAGTAGTGGGTTCGATTTTCCCTAGACGCCCCTCGCTTTCGCCCTCGTCCACACATCTAAGTTACGATTAGAAAATCGTTTTGAGCACTTCAACCTCATATAATGGTTAGCAAACTTGTTTCGCTAGATCAATTAAGTAGTGGGTTCGATCCTCACTGGGTGCTAATCACATCTAAAGTACGCTTAGAAAATCATATCAAAAGAAATTGAAAAGCTGTAAAAATATGTGGACCTTGTCAGAAAAGTGGAAAATGTTTGCGTTATGATTATTAGCTATAAATCAATACAGACCCCCATGTCCTCACAATTATTGTTATAATCATAATTAATTAAAAATACAATAAATCAACCATTCGCCCTTTCATGGAATACTGCTGCCATACATGGTTTGGAGCCCCTGCTGTTTGTCTTAAGGTCCTCGACAAAATCCAGAGACGAATATGCAACGTGATTGGCCCTGATCTGGCATCTCGTTTACAGTCACTTTCTCACAGACGTGCCGTCGCTTCCCTCTGTCTTTTCTGCAAATACTTTCACGGTAATTGCTCCGACGAGCTACTTTCACTGGTTCCCAAACTGCATGAATTTAAACGTGCCACTAAGGCCGTCATCTCTGTCCCACCCTTTCACTCTCGAAACTGTTAAATGTAGCCGTCTCTTCTACTCCAATAGCTTCATATCTCAAACTTCCCGTCTGTGGAACTCCCTTACTCTTACTTGCTTCCCTGATAGCTATAATCTTCAATTATTCAAATGCAATGTCAATTGATATCTTGAGATGCCTTGATCTAATTCTCCGTCCTTCTCTTCATCCTTTCCTCTATCACGTCTCTTTACTCTTGCTTCCACTCTCTATAACTCCGTGCGTACTAGTGGCACTCCCGTCTTGCTTGGTGTGAAATGCTTAAAAAAAAAAAAAAAAAAAATTAAGACAACACAATTATTGTGATGGTCACAATATTTCGGCTGTCACGCACTCTGGCCGTCTTGAAGTATCACATAATTTTGATTAGGATCAAAAAGAAGGCTTGGAGAATTTAACACGGACAGGACATTGTAATGGCAAGAGAGAAACACCAAGTAACATACTTAACGACTCTGTGTAAGTGTAACACGAACTGAGAGGAATAGTAAAAGGACAAACATAGGGCTACAAAGGATAGGATGTTGTGGAGAGCCATGATTACTCACGTCCTGAATGGACACGGCAAAACAAAGAATATTTTTCTGCCACTGTCCCCTTAATCCTGCTTACGGGCACTATTAATTATACGTGTAATTTGAAGACTTCGTGTTATTTTCCCTTGAAAATGCTTTTGTTCATTCATTTTTAAACTTTACCCAGATAAAAAGAGCAAGTATACCATGGAGCGCTAATTAGCAATGGAGTATAGAAATCCATTACAGCTGTGTAGTGAAATCGATCATTACTAGATACCCCATAATTGTGGCCTTGTGCCAGACTAAATAATGGGTTTCTAGTGAGTTCAATCTTTAATTCTCCTTACCGAAAATGAAAGACCTTGAACTAAGATTAATAATTTCTTCAATTAAGATGAAGAAAAAAAATTGAAGTGACCGAAATGTCGTTCTATCGACATGGCGCTACAAGAAGAAGTAGCAGTTGGAATTTATGGAACATATAATGAGGAAAGAAGATTTAGTGAATTTAACACACATAAGGCGCATCGAAAATAAGAGAAGAAGAGAAAAGCTATGTGCCAACTACTTGACGAGTTTGAACAAATGGAAGCGGGAACAAATACTATAAATGTGGTGAGAGGTTGGAAACAGCACAAAGGGAGCTGTGGAGAGCCATGATCGCCTACGATCTGAAAGAACATGTCAAATAAATAGAGAGAAAAAAGAGAGCGTAAACAAGTACTATAAAGGTGAAGAGAGGTGGTAAACAGCTAACAAGGAAGCTGTGGAGAATTATGATTGTCTCCTATCTGAAAGAACATGTCCCATAAATAGAAATAGATAGATAGAGAGAGAGAGAGAGAGAGAGAGAGAGAGAGGGGGAGAGAGAGAAAGAAAGAAAGAGAGAGTTTAGCTCAGTACACTCTGTTAAAAGAATTATAAATTTCAATGAAATAATTTAATTTGGGGGAAGATAAGATCAGCATTAAGAATTTGTTTTAAAATAAGCAGAAATATTTAAGGTATGAAAATTGCGTTTTCAAAATAATAATATAATTCATTCCTTTAAGGAAAGAGAAGAAAATCAGTGAAAGTGAAAGTGAAAGTGAAAGATAGACGAAGAGAGGGCGAAAACAAGAACGAGGTGGAAAAGAATTGTAGAAATTTATTTTAGCCTTGACTCAAAGCCTTTTGCGAAAAATATAATTGCGCATTGTACAAAAAGCTATACTGTCTTTTTCTTTTCTTTCGAATCAGCAAAGAAAACCTGAAGCACAAAAAACAGAATCTCACATAACACGCACCATCACACACGAATTCTCGCACACTATAGATAAAATGTTTGGGGCCATCTTGAATTTCTTTAGAAAACACCTTAGAATGAGATATTTTTTATTTTTTAAAAGTAAAACAACAACAAAAAAAAAATCACTAACTATAGTTTATTTGCTTTTACTTTTTAGTCTCTCTTCTCTCCTCACTTTCTTCTCTTACTATCAAAATTTGGATTCGTTTGGCCACAATACATTTTTCTAAATTATGAATATTTTGTAGGAGAAACATTATCTTTTGTTTTCAGCATTAACCTCTCAGTAAATATTTTGAGAATACCATAAGTGCTGGGGATTTGATACAAGTCAAGAGAATCCTGAAAAAAGGAACATTGGATTTTGCAAAAACATGATATAACATCTGGTTTATGTATAATTGGAAAAATAGCCTTTCAACAAGGCAATGATCCAAAACACGCTTGTCAAAATTATCCTGAATCAAAAAAAAAAAAAAAAAAAAAAAGAAACTAAATTTTGGAAATTAAGATTTTACCGTCTCTATTTCATGAACTCTGTCCCATTGAATTAGTATGGGATGAATTGGATAGGAAAGATCAAAGAGAATACCCAAAGTGGGTGTGCGAGCTTTTTCACTGCTTGAAGGTCTGCCATCTATTTTCTTTTCAAAAACTATTGGAAAAAATGCTAAGAACTTTTAAAGCAGTAATTAAGATGTTTTTAAAGAAGTGCAGCATAACTCCATTTTTTTTACATGTAGTTTACATATGCAGAGATAAACCAGTGTTATTTGTTGACGTTTCTGTGGAATTTTGTTACTGAATATTTAATCCATTCACTTACCGTTGAGAAACTTTCAATTCTGAATTGGTTAAGTATCTCTCCTCGCAAGGTCTTCTTTCAGATAAGCAATATGTCTTTGCTTGCCTAGGTCAACTGCTGACGTATTAACAATTATTGCTGAAAGTGTCTATCATTTATCTTTAGATAAGAATGCTGAAGCTTAGGCAGTTGCTTTGGATATATTTAAGGCATTTGATAGAGTTTGGCATACTAGTTTTCACAAGCATAAATGTGGCATTTCTGGACAAATTTCTGAACTGGTTCAATCTTTCTTATCAAATCGTGAATGAAAGTTGTCTTGAATGGCAACTCTTCTAGATCTTTTCGCATTAATGAAGGTGTTCTCCAGAGCTTTATCCTTGGACCTGTATTGTTTCTAATTTTCACCAACACACTTTCAGATCTTACACATTTATAAGTCTGCCATTAGTCAATGCATTGAATATAGCTGTCACATTTTAGAAGAAAAATATGCAATGTTATTGGTCCTGACCTGGCAGCCCTGTTTTAGTCACTTTACCGTCATCATAACGTAACTTTCCCGCACCTTTTCTATAAATAATTTGATGGTAATTGTTTTGATGAACTTTCCTCTTTGGTGCCTAGACTTCACTCTAGATTGTCGACAAGTTTTCATAATTTTACTATTAAAATAGCTAGATGTAACCGTAAATTCTTCTCTTGCACTTCTTACTTGTGGATGTGTCTTCCAGTTTCTTTATTCACAGTCATCTATGATCAAAAATTTAAATTCGATGTCTACCGTTATCTTCTTAATTCCTGTTCTTTTGTCATTTTATCTCCTTAATAATGTTTTCTTTTTCTTATATTCTCTAACACACAGTAACCCTTGTTGTGTCTTAGTGGCTTTATTGTCGTGCTTGGGGCGAAATGATAAAAAACTGCATTGCCTTCAAGCAAAGTCTTCAAAATATGGAGTCAGACTTGGTTTCTATTTTTAAGCATCACAAAAAGTAAGACACCCCAGAAAAACCACACAGTATCAATAGACTTTGAGGATTCTATATGATAATGACATAATGTTATATTAAGGATTCTAACTGACTTAAGTTTGTTAATTCTTTCCCATTTAGATATACCAGGTTCACAACTCACACTTTGATAAGTAATAGGTAATATATGTTTCCAGGTTTGTTCCTTTTGTTATTACAACACATCTATATAGGCTTACATTCATTATGTCTTTCTATCTAACATATTTTAAAAAATAATGTCACTCAAAGCAAGGCAATAAAGCCACTAAGTGGCATGAGGATATTGCATGTGATGAATTTAAAAAAAAAGGATCCATATCAGTCTCTTCATATCTATCTATCTATCTATCTATCTATCTATCTATCTATCTATCTATCATTTCACTCTACGCAACGCAATAAAAACACAAAGACGGAAGCGGGTACTGAATGTGAAAGAATTTGAGAAAAAATATCTCTATCCTAGTCCCTTCCTCTTGCTGTATTATGTATTATGCATGATCTTGTTACTAAACAACTGTTGTTAGTATAAATTTCAGAAATTACTTATATCACAGACATATTATTACAAGATAAATTTCAATCTCATGCATTTTTATTAGAAGTATTTAAAACGATATATTTGGTGGTGTGAAATTTTATTTTATAACTCGAGAATTGTTTATCATATTGTAAACAAAAATATATGATAGTATCGTTGTATATATATTTGCATATTTCAGATATTTAAAGAATAACCCCAAAAGAAATAAAATATTGTAAAGTCTTTGAGCGATGGGAAGAACATTTAAAAATGCGAAAATGTTGAACAAAGATAATAGAATAATGAACAATAAGTTAAAAACGCGGGCAAGATAAGAACAAGAAAACTCTTTGACAAAGGGAAATTTGATTAAAAACTTAAGTTAATAAGCGAACTGTGAATTCAGACCCGTGGGCAGCTGTTTGGAGACCTTCTTGTGCATAGTTTCTTTGTTATCAGTTCTTTCGAAAAGTGTCGTTGGTTCAGATACAAGCTTCCACCATTATAATTAAATCATCTGCATCATTGGCGGCCACAGTTTTAGCAACATAAGAAAAGTAGACGACGCAGTGTTGATAAAAGACACAGGAAGCAAACTAGAAGAACACCTACAGAAAGTAGTGAAAGAAAGCATGAAAAAAAAGGACATCAATTGTAAAAAGACAGAATCCATGTTTGTTGCTAAGAAACAACTCAACATACAAATTACAAACTGGATATACAAAATGTATTTAAATCCTATTTAGTCTTTAATATCTAAACATAAATAAAACACTGGTTATCGATTACCAAAGTGAAGCAACGTCGAGTTTGGCCAGAATCTAAATGTGAGACAGCTTGGTAATACCATGGACTGTAAACTTGGATGTATGGGTGATTTAATGGATAACGGCCCGAAATTGGAGCCGAGTTCTAATTCCAGTCAGATTCGTTACACGCAAATAAGATTGGGAAATATATAAATCCCTCTCTTCTCCTCCGCCTATAGGTTAATTAATAGGAAATATCAGTAAATCATTATTATCTTAAACACTTCTGACAATCTAAAAATATTTTCTGGCTTTAAATAACACGCAAAACGTAGTTAAACCGTAAAAAACCCAAGTCGATCAATCGATTTAAACATAATCTACTAGGGAAAATACTCAGTTTTGTGGGTTTCAGATGGAAATCTTTGTGACGAACAGCTGGAGGCTGAACAAGCTATTGCTGCTCAATGCGACAGTGAGCAACTGGACAGTTTGAATGATGCATTAGAATAGAAAATATTTTTGATGGGTAAACACGTTGACAAGGTGACTTTGGTGCACGATATCACTCGTTCTTATGTTGCGAATCCGACGCAGCAAACAATAATTTTTTTTCAGAATTAAGAAATTTTTTCCATGCAATCTATTTTCTAAATTTGAGATCTGTTTCGCTTTTTGTCTGCTCACCGATTTCAACAATATCCAGATATCAAAAGAAGTTCCCACAAAGTATTAGTCGAATCAAAACCGGAATCGTTCTTTTATGATGGAATACACATTTCAGCGGAAAAATTATGGATTGCGGAGAAATCAGGAACAATAGCTGACAATGTAAACAGTATAAAAATAATGTTTTAGATATATTCTATACTTTTAAAATATCTGATCATTTTTTATAAGTTTTGATTCTGAAAGTTTTCGATTTATACCAGGCTCTTGTTGATATTTGTAAATATAAAGAAAGCGATTCGATTTTATTGCTGCCAAAATTTGAACAAACATGATTTATAATTCCTGCCATTTTTTTTCAAAGAAAAAATCTGCATATAGTTAATTTGATTGACTTGAACACAAAAGTGTTAGGTTTAAGCTGTCATTTTAAAGATAGAATTTCCTTTGTGCCGCTAGATGTAGTGGCAGAAGAAAACTACTTGGAACCTTGACTTGTTCCAAGGAATACAATTTCGATTTTGACATTTGAAAAACAAGACCTTGGTTTCCGGTTTCGGCGTTAAAAGAATGAAAATGATAAAAAGAGAAACAGAATAAAAATGATAAAAAGAGAAATAGTAAAAATGTAAAATATTAAAAAAAAACGACAAAAAACCCCAACAAAACAAAACAAAACGGGAAGGTCGAGAAGTCCATTAGATGCTGTTCTAGTATATTGCATAGTTTTTTAAAGACTACTTTCTTCTCGAGAGGAATTATTGGAAATCACAAAGATAAAAAAAACCCTGAGCGTTCTTGCCTGCGAAGTTAAAAATAATAATAATAAGTAATTAAAGTGATTGTTTTAAAACGTTCATCTGCCAAGATGACATTCAGAACAGAGCTCATGTCAGAATGAAATTAAAAAGATATGTGAGAAGAGTCTATTATCTGCTTTCATTATTTCAAAATTATACTATGTCCTGCGAGATAAGCAACACAGAAAAACGATTTTGAGAACTTTCCACAACATTTTAGTGGCTCTAGATGTACATGTATATATGAAATGGATTAAGTCCGACAATTATTTAATATATTTTTTTATTTATACGTTATTTTAATAGATACAATTTATTTAAATAAATATTCTTAAATAAACAGTATTAATTACTTTTGACGGCCTGGATGTTTGAGAAATTTCGTAGAAATTTTCGTAGGAAATATGTGTTCGCCAACAGGAATCGAACATCTGTCCTATAAGGAATCGTCAATTGAACTGACGTGCTATACACTGCCGAGTATTTGTTGTTTAAAAAAAGTATTTTAAATTTTGCTAACCGGATGCTTCTCTATAGCTGACTGGCATAGCACGTCAGATCAATTGACGGTTCCGTATAGGACACAGGTTCGATTCCTGTTGGAGAACGCACTGCTTCCAATCTACGAGAGGAGAGAAAGAATCACTCATATCGAACGTTCCAAGAAAGACCCGAAACCACATACCCTTGAATCAGCCGAAGATAATTTGAGGGAAGTTAGTTTTAGTTCTGGATAATTTAGTCTTGTATTTTTCTCGTACGTTACTAACAGTATAATATACTGGCACGTATCAGAAGAAGCACTAATTGCGCATACTCAAAAGTATTTTCGACCTACGGGAGAACATTTATTTCGTTGTCGGCGTCAGAATATTTCATCTAAATTTTAATGTATAAATAATTCATTTTCCCTCATTTGGAATGATGTTTTTACGAAGAAATATGTCAAAGATCATATTCTTTGCTGTGTTGCTGTATTTGAAGTTGTCTTCTTCTTATTCCTACGAGTATAATCTTTTTTTTTTTAATTATATGTAGATTTTCTCCATCTTTGTCGCTTACTATTTTGACTGAATATTTCAAAGTGTTAAAAAAGAATAGCTTCCGCCAATCCTCAGGTGCAATATTCCCTAAATGGAAAGAATCTCTTCCAGTTCTCAACACACACACACACACACACACACACACACACACACACACACACACACACACACACACATATATATATATATATATATAATATTTACCCTTTTCTAGCAAGATTAATGCTCGACAAACGTACATATAAGTTTTAGATCAAAATAAAATTCTTTGCGTTTTTCATTCAAAATACTCAAATTTTAGGAATACGTTTCACAACATCGCCCACGTGACGACGACGTGATCATATTTAAACGGAACGCTGATCTTATAAAAAGATTTCAGTTATCTGTTTGGATTGGTATTGCTTTTATGTCCATCGTCTTTTCATGCTGAATTGTATATGGTCTATGTTAATTATGTTTTATGAATATGTCCTGAAGATGGTCTATTAGACCGAAACGTCCGACGTTGACATTAAACATTAAAACAGCATAATCGCATATTAGGATTTTTGTTTGTTTTTTCAGTATAGTTTTCTTCATATATATATATATATATATATATATATATTGTTACAGAATGCGAAGGCCAGGGCCAGTATGTTCAACGATTGTCCGAAGTGCCTCATGGGTTGGGTGTGGTATTCTAATTGCTTTTGTCTGGGTTTCGGATATGAGTTTAAAACGGCGCGAATTCAACACGCCCACGGCCATGTTCGAGGCAGCAGCTAAGACCACAGGCGGAGGGTCGCTAAGCGAACGCAGGACATGCGTTTCCGGACGACATTCCTCTCGCTGCCTCGTAGAACCCATGCTGCCACGTCTACCCCACTCTTCTATTAAAAACGAATACGCAAAAGAAATCGTTCTTTTCGTTAATACCATTTGATGTAGTATCGTAAGGACCCAGAGGCGACACGGAACGCAATAATATGTCTTCAAAGAATTAAATGAAACGTTTTTTTCATAGAGGATGGAAAATGCGAATGTGCATTGGAATAGCAAACGATGTATACTGGATAATCTCCTGCTATACTAAAAACAAAAAAAAAAAACCCGGAGGCAACAGAAATATGGTCCCTCTACAGAAAGATACTGAGAATACCATGAACGGAGCATGTAAGCAACGAAATAGTCTTGAGGAAAATGAAAACGACGCTTATACTTAGAGTCAGAAAAAAGACAGCTGGCATTTCTTGGGAGGAGAGCTTGGAAAGTCTGACACTCACAGGGCATATCAAGGGCAAAAAATGGTAGAGGAAGGCAGTAAACTAACTGACCAACTTGAGTGAATGAAGCGAGGGGAGAAAATTGGGAAATAGAAAAATGTTGCTAAAAGCTACAATAGATAGGAGGTTGTGGAGAGCCATGATCATCCACATCCTGAAGGGACACTGCAGATAGAAGAAGAAAATATCCAAATAAATATTTTCATGTATGACACTTTTGTTCATCACCAGAAGAGTTCTATGTCGGAGATTCTTTTGTGGTATGACAAATAAATTGCCTTAATTTGTCTGAAATTATCTTTAGTTTTCAGTTTTTTTTTCCCAAAGTATTACGAATCAGGAAAATATCGCTAGGAACAAAGAAAGGAAT